CCCCCCCCCCCCCCTCCAGCTTTGTCGTGCTGCGAAGGTTAGTTAATAAATGGAAATATCTCCCAATATTGTGACAAAATTAGGTTTTCAGTTCACAATACTCGGTGGTAAAGATCACCTCTAGAATTAATTATATTCAGCTCAGAATTGCGATTCATTCTTCCTACATACTTTACAATAAAAATGTATCTGAATGACAAATTAGGGATAAAATTGGCTTCTAATAAACAAATTTTAAGTTTCAATATTTTGAATACTTTGAACAAACCAAAATAGGTTATTTTTTGCATTGAAGCAGACCCTATTATAATGTTTACAACCACTTTACAGGGAAGTTAAGGGAATTTTACTTGCCAAGACCACTTGGTCGAGGTAACCCGTGGTTAGGTAACATTTTTAATTTCCAGAAAAAGTAGTTGTTCACAATTTTTTCTTCTTTTTTACGGATGGTTGGTTATCTTACTTAATTGTCCCAAGGTACGTTAGGTAACATAAAGTCCCTCTGTTGGGAGAATCAAATGTCAGTAATATTGTTTATTAAAGAGCGGTAGATTTGTTTAAATGTTGTGATTAATACTCAAAATTGGAGGATTTGTGAAAATATTTTTCTTTCTTAACTGATTCTAGAACAAAGCTATATTAAGTTGTAATAAACTAGTAATAAGAAATAAATATTTTTAATATGTAAATATGGATATATACAATGTTACACAAAAAGGATGAGACTTTAATGACCAAAAAATCTATGAAATATAACGATTATAAAGTTAAATTTAGTATTTTTCGCTTTAAAAAGCTGTTAAATTTACTGCTCAATGATTTGGCGATTAAAAAAAAAGCAAGTTTCCAGCTGCAGGAACCAAAACGGTGTGTAAAAAGTCCACATAAATTCTGTACAGTCGTCTTCAAAGTCGCATTCTTTGTGTGTAACCCTGTATATTATTTAAAGTAAATAGTAAATAAACAGTTAATTAACTTGAAAAATTTATTTTACGATCGAAATATTGTTTTTTTTTGAGGAAACACTTTTAGCTAGATTATCAATAATTATTGTAGCCTCCGCGATGGCCTCCATAGCCTCCATGGTGCCCTCCTCCAAAGCCTCCTCCATGACCTCCATATCCTCCGCCATGACCTCCATACCCTCCATGATGACCTCCACCTCCGAGACCTCCCAGAATGCCACCAATGATTTGACCAAGATCAGCTTCACGTTTGTCTAGTCCTGTCAGCTCTTCGATATCGTCCTCAAGCCTTTCTGGTCCATTGGATTTGTCCTGTTTAGCATGGCAGGACAAAACAATACTTATACAGCAGGAGAGAATAAACATCTGAATGGAATTCATGACTGGTTGGGAGTTTAACTGATGTACAGTACACTTGATGTAGAAATAGTTGATGTACAGTAACGTTATGTTCAGTTTATCACACTTTCTGTATCAATATTTGATGTGCAGTACACCGTATGTCCCAATAATTGATGTGCAGTACATGCGCTAAGTACCAATGACTGATGTGCAGTTTCAGTAGGTATGTACTATGTACAGCAACGATCGATATTTTGTACAGTTTAATCTGAGATCTGTTTCCTATAGAAGTTTTGATGTTCTCCGGATCAGGTTGCTGGTGCCAATTAAAGATATTTTTCATGTTCTTTTATATTTATATAATCATCTACGTTGAAAAATTTGCTTAATGCGGAGTAATCAGACTAGGATTAACATGGAGAGCAGTAAAATATAGGGGGGGGGGGCACTCATTAATAGGAATAAGGTAAGTTAGGGGTTCTAAGAAACTAAACTTCCTTAGAATTTGGAATTGAACTTACGCAAAAGATTAAAAACAAAGTTAAGCTTGTCAAGATAAAAATGTTCATTCACTAAAAAAAAATCGTAAATTTGTAAAATTTACAAAAATATAAAAAAAATTTGTACCGGAAAGAAAGTGTTGAAAAAATTAGGATTTAAAAAGAAGTAATCTCTGGTTGTCTGTTTTTTTTCTGCAGAGCAAAACTCATGAATTTTTGGACCGATTTGCCTCAAATTAGTATCGGAGAACTCGGTTTTGAGATTCTTAATTAGTGGGTCCATTTTTACAGGGAATTAAATAGATAAAATGGTTTACGACCAAGTATGAGTTACCTGGGCAACGCTGGGTTTTCAAGCTAGTCTATTATAAATGTTTCTCAGAAAAGTCTAAATAAAAAATAATAGTAATATTTATTTTTTCTATTTTTGACAAATATTAGCACGTAGCATTTGAACTTTTCAGCAATAAAGGGCGATTTCCTTTCGACCCCCCCCCCTGATTGTGATAAAGTTAAAGCGAAATTTATCAAAAACTGGAGACTGTAGTTATGAAACTTTGCGTTTATTTTCGTCAAAGTTTGTTACAAAATTTTGTTACATTTTTGACTAAGATTTCTTTAAACAATTTAACATAATTTTCTAAGTTTATCTTTTATGGTTTTTCAAACAATCATGTTAATAAAATAATTAATAAACTATACACTAAAATAAACAAAAAAAAGATAAGAAAACTTTTAAATTCCCATATTAGCCACTCCCCTTAATTACCCCGCCCTCCCCCCTTCTAGTTGCTAATTCCCCTTTGTTTTCCTTACATCTCAAATCTCAATATTCTTAGGGTTTAAAAAGTATTCTAAATCCATAAAAATTCGAAAACATAAAGTCAACAAATGCACAATTTTAAACAAACTTTCTCGTTGTCCGTGTCGCAATTTTAGATAAATTCACAGTGGAAAAAATTGCATGGTAACAGTCGGAAATCATCCCTTTAATACTGAAAGGGGCCAGTCTCTGGTGGGGATGTTGGGTGAGATATAGGGGGGGTAGTGGGGGAGGGGCGGTCTGCGCATTTTCTTAACTTCGTAGTTTACCTGACCGCAACGCGGCAACAACACGTTGACTTAGACATTTTCCTATAAAACAATCATTAGCCCATCATTCTTCAACTGGATAGGTACTGCTGTCCATCTCCTAGATAATAATATGGCGAAACTATTTGTATACGGGATTGATCAGTCGTCTTCCAATCACGAGATTCAGGAGGAATTCGAGAAGTTCGGCACCGTTACCGACGTCTACAACACCGGGAAAGGTTACGCCTTCGTGACCTACGATAGGAAGGAGGATGCAGATACCGCCACAGATGCATTGGACGGACAGACCATCCTCGGACAGAAGGTTAAGGTCAACGAGGCAAAGGCTAGAGAAGAGGGCGGAGGCCGAGGAGGTGGTGGAGGAGGTTACGGTGGAGGCCGAGGCGGTGGAGGTGGAGGATACGGTGGAGAGAGAAGAAGCGGCGGTTACAGCGGCGGTGGTGGAGGATACGGAGGTGGAAGAAGTGGAGGAGACGGCGGAGGTTATGGAGGCGGTGGTGGATATGGTGGAGGACGAGGCGGAGGTGGCCGCGGCGGATATTAAATCAAAGAATTTTCATCAAAACGATTTATAGAAAATGTTCTAACAATTCTATTTTCTTATTATAATGTAAATCCTGCTTGATTGTAGTTAAATATATAATAAACTCATGTTTCTAAATATTTATTTTTAATCGAAGGTTAAAGCTTTTAAACGAGAAAAATGTAGTTCAAAAAGTAAACTCCAGTTGTATGCAAAAATATCAGAAGTATCCTGCATAAATCAAAGCAGAGATTACAATCATACCTTTAATAGAGCATGGGTTATTAGTTAACCAGGGTTTACAAGGTAAAAAGGGTCTTTAATTCTTTCAAAGTACTTGCAATGGTTTTTCTCTAACATTTTTAAGGACTTTAATTTCCAAACGCTATTAACACTATAGCCACTCGATAGGACTAAAAAATACAAACATTATCTCGTACAATTACTTGCTAATGTTTTGGTCTTTTAACAACAAATTTCTTCGAAAATAACACTTTACACTTTAAGAAAGCATAAAATATTTTTGCATACGTAAATAAGGAATTACGGTGAGACCCACAAAACTGTGAAATAGGAAAACGACGTAAATCTGATCTTTTATCAAGCAACTAGTTAAATTAAATTCATTAAGTGAAATAGGTTTATTTAAACTGTATAATTGTTGTCTTTCAAACTTATTAATTATTTGTCTTCCTATGAAACAGTTTTATGGGTCTTGTACAAAACTACCAAATTCGCAGCCATTTTTTTCATACATACCATTATCTTAGATTTAATAAGGAAAAAACCTTCACGTCCGATTTTTAACTTTAACCATAAACAGTTATCTTTGTGTTACATAAAAAGAAAATTGCAATTTCACACTTAAAGAATAGCATCACATCTGTATCTTTATAACTTTATCTGGTCAAGGAAAGATGAGATATCATTATTTTTCTAGCTGAAAATTTATTCAACACTTTCTCAAACAGAAAATAGATAACAGCTTCTCATTGTCACTCTGAAGGACTTTTAAAGGTTACCGTTGTGAATTGGACAGGTCACTCAGATAATAATGGGTCACATGAAATTACGTCTACAGTCCCTTTAATTATGTCGTATCATTTGCGCATTTAAAAATCTAGTTTTTTAGTCTTTAGTCATTAATTTTGACTCTTTTTGAGTCTTCTAAGTCAAAAAAAAATTTCGCCTGTGGCACCATTTTTTTTCCTAATTATTAATTTTTTGTTCCTAAAAAATCTTGACCCCCCCCCCCTCACTTAAATCCTGTATCCGCCCCTGTACTTTTCTTACTTTTGATTTAATCATAGGGTTACCCACAAAGAATAAAACTTTAGAGATGACGTAACTGAATTTTTTCAATCTTGCTTTGACCTGTAAACTAATTTTTTTCCAATCATTTAATTCATCATTTGTATTTATATTAAAGTATCATCCTATATAGAAATTTTGGACTTCAATGTCTCATCATATATAGAAGTTCTGGACTTCAATGTCTCATCATATATAGAAATTCTGGACTTCAATGTCTCATCATATATAGGAATTCTGGACTTAAATGTCTCATCCTATATAGAAATTATGGACGTCAATGTCTCATCATATATAGAAATTTTGGACTTCAATGTCTCATCATATATAGGAATTCTGGACCTTAATGTCTCATCATATATATAAATTCTGGACTTCAATGTCTCATCGTATATAGAAATTCTGGACTTAAATGTCTCATCCTATTTGGAAATTCTGGACTTAAATGTCTCATCATATATAGAAATTTTGGACTTCAATGTCTCATCCTATATAGAAATTCTGGACTTCAATGTCTCATCATATATAGAAATTCTAGACTTAAATGTCTCATTATATAGAAATTTTGGACTTCAATGTCTCATCCTATATAGAAATTCTGGACTTCAATGTCTCATCATATATAGAAATTCTAGACTTAAATGTCTCATCATATATAGAAATTCTGGACTTCAATGTCTCATCATATATAGAAGTTTTGGACTTCAATGTCTCATCCTATATAGAAATTCTGGACTTAAATGTCTCATCATGTATAGAAATTCTCGATTTCAATGTCTCATCCTACATATATAGAAATTATGGACTTCAAGGTCTCATCAAATATAGAAATGTTGAACTTCAATGTCTCATCTTATATAGAAATTCTGGACTTAAATGTCTCATCATGTATAGAAATTTTGGACTTCAATGTCTCATGATTAAACATTCCTTTATGATGATAATTTGGTTTTATTTGTCAATTGAATTAAATAAATAACATTTTAAAGTTTAAAGATTCACGCTTTAAAGATTCACGCAACCTCAACCTCCATATAATACAGGTCGTTTTTAAATGTTCAAGCTTTGGTTGCCAGACAAACATTTTTGTTGAAAACATCAAAAAAATTGGAAGCCTTCCCTCCCTCCTCCTTTTTCTCCTCCTCCTCCCCCCTCCCTTCACCCTGCCTACCCCTCCCTGTATCCATTACATTCCAATTTTACCCTTTTCGGTTTAAATCAGTGAAACTTGTTTGATCCGGCACAAACAAATAGTGAAACCTAGAACCATAATAATTTATGTAAAGATGGCAATGCTCGATTCACAACGGTACCCTTAACAGCTTTGTCTGATTAAGTATGAATTAGTTTATAAGATTGAAAACTTATTATTTTCAATTGTGGTTTCTCTACAATAAAGACTTGGGGCATTTGTACTGGAGAAAAACATACAGAACTTATCATAATGAAACTTATTTAAAACTAGAAAATGATAAAATATTTCTCCTCATTGATCAAAATACGGTTTTCAGGGTACCGTGGTGAATCGGGAGTTAACATATTTGCATGAAGAGTCTCTTGAAACTAAGCTTACATTCCCTTAAAAAATAGTTTTCTTTTAAACTGATTTGTTTTTCGTTAGATTTGTCTAATTTAAGATTTCAAGTAATAAATGTTTCCGTATTGCTTATAGAGGACAGAATATTCCTAGACATTTTCTAAATATTACTTTATCTTGCTTTTGTCTAGAAAACGGCCTAACTTTCTTAGATAATGCTTTGTGAACCCCTCAATGTAGTAGAAGGAGAAGGAGGAGGAGAAGGAGAAGGAGTAGGAGAAGGAGAAGGAGGATGTGAAGGAGGAGGAGGAGAAATGGAGGCAGTATAGTTTCAGTAGGAGTAACTATTTCCTATTTACTGTTTAGCCCCAATATAAGGATTCGTCTCTAATTGGATAATGAGATAGATGGTACTGCCAAGCAATTTCTATTGGTCCAGAATATACCCCAAACATATGACTGAACCCTGATTGGATCAGGCGCTAATGGAATCGCATACAAGGAGGAGAAGGTGGAGGAGGAGGAAGAAGAGGTTGAGTAGTAGAAGGTGGTTTTATCAATTTGGTTAATTTTTGGTCCCTTAGTGAAAAATAAAAAAATTATAATATGGAGAAATATGTTTCGAACTTAGGAAAGTTTTCTGATAAAAGTTTTCTTTTTAACTTTAAAGTATTTTATTAGCTTAAGTATATATTCGGATAGGCTTTTCAGGTTCTCCCAGTATTAACAAAACTGCATAATATCATTTCGCTTCTGATATTTTTCATTATTCATTTCTAATTTTTGGCAAACAAAATAAGTTTAAGACAAATTCCAACAATTAGACTTTGATTTTCTTTTTTTATGAAGTTTTGAAATCCCCGGTTCAGCTGTCGGAGAGACTCGGCTTTTAATCCCCAGCCATTCTTGGCTTTTCTTAAACTTCTTTCTCGTTCTCTAGTGACGGTACTTTTTGAGAAAACAACCCTAGACCCAACAGAGGTTTTATCTTTTTTATTCATTCTTTCTTGTTTTAGATCTTTTTTTCTTCTTTATTTTTGGAACATTTTTTCCTTTTTTCTTTTTTTAGATCTTTTTTGATTTTACTCTTTTTTTCTTGTTTTCTTCTTTTTCTTAACTTTATCTATTTTTTTATACTTTTTTCCCTCTTTTTTGTTGGGTTTTCGAAGTTTGTTCTCATTTTAGGGGTTTGTCGTGTGAGGGATTCCGTTTCCGGATTCCCTGTCCGTTTCCAGACTGACTGAGTTTGCCTTCTCATTTCTCAGGTTTACTAAGTTTTCCTTCTCATTTCTCAGGTTTACTAAGTTTTCCTTCTCTTTTCTCAGGTTTACTAAGTTTTCCTTCTCTTTTCTCAGGTTTACTTAGTGTCCTTCTCAGCCATATGTTTCAATCTGACCATTTTCCTCTTTAAGCTCTCTCTTATTCTCTTTATGTCTATACCGTTGTGCCTCTTTCTCTTATTACTTTAACTATTTCCTACTTAATCTTGCATTATAACTGCATCTGTAGGAACCCGCATCTACCAGTCATAATCAAAGAATTTTTAGCTCAGGTATCCCTGCAAAATGTCTTAATCACAGATCGTCGAATTATAATTTTTTCTAATCTTTAAAATGAGCAATTTTCTAATGAAGCAAATACGATCAATATATACATGGCGTTAAAGTTTTACTGATTAACAGATTTCATTTAGATATAATTTCAATCTAATTCAATATTTTTTAAATTAGCAATTATTGAAAGTTTCTGATAAAAGTTAATTTTCTAAAACTTGACTTTATTCTGGTGACCACTGTATACTAGTTACCGAGAAAAGTACTACTGAGAATCGTCATAATAAATAGGCTGGGGGAGAGTAGTATTTGGAATCAGTCAAATAAAAATATAAGATGAAAAATGAAAGAAAATTTAAAAAAGATAAAATTATCTAAGTTGATGAGTATTTAACTACATTAAGTATTCATCTTAATAGAGTTTAGGAGATTTAATTACTAAGCTCCATACTTTCCATCCTCTTCCTTCATTCATTCATTTATAGTTTATCTACCTTTACACTTTTTAACCATAAAGCACAAGATCTTTATCTATCAATGGATTAAACTTAAGATCTTTAAATATTAATGGATTAAACACCAGATCTTTAAATATTAATGGATTAAACAGCAGATCTCAAAATATTAATGGATTAAACACCAGATATTTAAATATTTATGGATAAACACCAGATCTCTAAATATCAATGGATTAAACTTAAGATCTTTAAATATTAATGAATTAAACACCAGATCTT